GGCGCTGTTATGTCGACGGGGGGGCATTTTGTACTATCATTGCTTCCTTAGTTCCGGTTTACATGTCTCACTCTGGCGAAACCTGTGAACTCTTGTGAAGCTGGAACAAGGTCGTCAAGCCATCATGTTAAAACCTGTCAACTCGAGAAGAGGCTGTCTAGATAGGTCGACACGTCGATGGGAAGTAGCAAAAGTGCAAAATGCCCCCCCCCCGGCTACTGCGCCTGAATTGATGCCGAAAACTGATCAAGTCAACCAGCCAAGAATGCTGGCCTGCTTCAACTCCCACTACACCCAGTGAAAACTAGAAGTTAGCTGAAAAAAAAACCAACCGTTTGCAACAACAATGGCCGCATTTCTTCTACAAACTGACATCTCCGGCAAGAGCATCCAGCCGTCATCGCCCAGCATCTTGAAAAAGTTGACCGCTTGCAATAAACTTTTATTGGCATGTATTAGAATTTTTACCTCGACTGAGCTGCGGACTAATGGTCCATCATGGCCTCCGACTGTGATGACACGATCGCGATAAATAGCTACTCCTGCGCCAGATCGCACTTCGAGAAGCGGTTCACCCGATCTCCAGCGATTCGCGCGAGAATCGTATAGTTCAACCTAGAAAGAACCACTAAAGATTATCTTTCCGAAGAAAACACGGCTTGCTCAAACGCTTTTCCATGGTCCGAAAGATTACAGCACGTGCAGAAAGAGTAGTGGCCGACCTTCGAAAGGTACAAGCCTATGGTGAACCCGAAGAGAGGGGGGGGAGTTTCAAGGAGATCGAACGGCTAGGTTGGATGGCCCAATGTGAGAGTTGTAATCCGGGGGCAAGTCCTGCCCCGCTCGTGAAATATTTTTTTCCAAAAATTCGACCTCCCATTCGGAGGCGACTGAGCCAAGTGACAACGTGCTGCGCAGACCACTGGAATCCACTTCACATATATCCCAAAAGCGTAAAAAGAGTGGAGTCAAATTTAACTACACCACATGTGAAATCTCAAACACTGAGGTTTTTCATGGAATACACCACGTAGAGTACCCGGCACAAAACTCAAACTGTTGTCGCTCACCGTATTCAAGCACTGCCTAGATTGGCCATCATAACCTCCTACAGCATAAACAATTCCATTCATCGCAGCCACTCCAACGCTTGATCGCCGCGTTGTCATCGAAGGCAATGCCATCCACTGACCTGAATGAAGAAGGAGTAGGTGGGACGTGTACATCGCCGAAGTTCCATTGAAAAAGATTAAGCCTGGACTGCATTCATCTTCAATCTGTAGAAACAACCTGAGGGATCGAATAAAATGGAGGAGCAGGAAACAAACTCCACTCGCAACCAGACCATAAAGTTTTCGGGACCTCTTCTTAACATCACGCCAAGTATCGTAGCATATGGTTAAGTAACAGATAAAGAGAAAGAGAAAGGGAAAGATGCGACTTTATCTTCACTAGACCACTGAACGATTTATAGTAGAAAACTGCTGGTCCTTAGGGCCGTAAAGAGACTAAATGCATTGCTCGTTTCTCCTCATGCAAAGCATTTATAACAGATAGTTCCTGAAATTTCCAGTGAGTGGAAAGGTGGTGTGGGGGGGGGGGGGCGTAGGGGAAGGGGAGCAGTAGACCTGTAGTGTAATTAGGAACTGACTGTTCGAACTGCTCTCTACTTCAAGACAATTTGCACACTCATGGAATGGGTCTGTAGCAGCAGTAGTGTGTATTTTTCTGCGCTGAAAAGTGCATGGAGCGGGGCTGAAGGGTAGTAGCACCCAGTTGCAGTCTCCATACTCCGCTCGCGCTGCGCACAGCCAGGTACCTGAACCTAAGCCAAATGCGCTACTTGTCTGCGCCCTCTCAATTCTGGTTGTTCGGTACCGCTTGGTGAGTGTTTCGCTGCAGGACCTTGTTAACTACGCAAGTACGGCACATTGACGAAAGCTCAAGCGAAGTATGGAAACAGCAAACGGGTATCACAACCTGAAGCCCCATTCCAAAGCACTTTTGAGCGGAGAAAGTGGCGGCTATTGCAGCTGCGAACCAATTCACCTTAAAGGCAGCGCCCGCGTTCATTTGTTGTTCCCACGCCCTCTTTGGATATCGTAGCTCACCCTATGAGGATGGTGGACGTACTAGTTTCGCAACTCAAAAATGCGAGAGAATAGCGGCGCCCGCTCGTGAAGAGTCGGCCACCCCGCCCACCTGGCGACCACTACGCCCAACTTCATTTCTAATGGTTGCCTGATGGTGCGGTTGTTCCGCTACTAACTCTCTCCACTTCGAATGATGAGAG